GCAGTCTGTGAGGATGAGGAGGAGGGAGGATGAAGAGACTGAAACACAAAATAACAAATCACAGACTCTTCAATCATCATGGTGATTAATAATCATCACCTTTTTCAATTGACCACATAATCATAAAATAACCATTAAGAACATGCAGATAAACACGAGCATCAGGTCCTTGTTGTTCTCCTTTCACATCTGTCCATTGTTGGCAGGTGTAAGATCCATAATCTTCTGTTGAGATGTTCTTGATGTTCAGAGAGCAGTCAGACCCCAGACTCAGTCTCTCATGTCTCTCTGTGGTTTTCTTCTTTTTCCCTAAACCAATCAGTTCAACTGCTGCTGAATCTCTGAATCTGTTATAGATCCATACAGTTGATGTGCAGTCATGAAGAGCATTATTACAGAGCAGACGGACATCTTCACCAGAACTGATGAACACATGAGTCTCATCCACTCCACTGGTACCTGAAACACAAGAACATCTGACTGATCATTATACTATATATTAATACCAGCAAAGAAAAGAAAAAAGCATACGATTCCAATCATAGTTTTTTTTTCCTCATTTAATGCAAAAAACACACTCTCCAGAATAAACTATTGATTTCTTTACCTGTGAGAAGTGAAGAGAGAACGATCAGTCCCAGCAGACACAGATGACACTCATCAGACATTTTCTCTTTCTCTCAGTCTTCCTCTTCATTATATGCTCTCAACTCTTTCTTTAAATACTATCAGCTCCTCCTGTGTTTCTTCACTTCCTCTCATCTACAGACTGAGTGTTTAGAGCTGCTATAGTGACGTTGTGCCAGAAGTGTTGCTTCATATTTCTCCTGTAAATATTGATGAAATATGTTATTTATCCTATAAAAGACATTTGTAGAAGTTGTTTTGATATTATGAAAGCCAGATGCATTTTGAAGTCCTCATGGTGTACGTGACTGTAACTGTATGAAGGTAAAAGGATGAGTAATGCGTACGTTTCACACAAAAACCCTTGGCAGCTGATGTGTAATATATGTGTCTCCGGGCTCCTGGAAAGGGTTAAATAAAAGGATAATAGACCAACAAGTAAGATCCTACAATTAAAGATGAATTGTTCTTTAAAAGAAAGAGCTAATAAATAAATGTGGAATGTAAGGGGAGTAACATACACACAGATGAACTGCTGGCATCTCTGCTTTGTTGTCTTTGTGCAATAAAGTCTAATTTAGGCTTCTGGAACTCAGAGTCTCGACTGATTCCTCTGAGAGCGAACCGAGTTTCTCCACAACAATATACACTCGGATTCAAGAAGATTTCACTACTAATATGTATTTTTGTTGACGCTTAAATGTAA